TCCTTACTATTCACCACTAAAGGCCAAAATGTTTACTACTTTTAACACATCATTAACAAATCAGGGCTGTGATGTTAGGTTAGGTTAAAAGGCATTATAATGGATTATACCATGACAGCACCAGCAAATGATCAGCAGGAGAATCATTGAAAGTGAAAATTTCAAATTATGCAAGCATCTGATCAACAGTTAAAAATAACTGAGCACCTAATTCAGTATTCTCCTCCGAAACGTCTATAAGCTACCCCACTCCCCCTTCAGATTTGCCCCTAATGCCTGACTGTATTGTTTCTAGATGAACCTTTATAGCTGTCCTCCAATTGTTCGGTGTTAAGTGGCAACAACTACATTTTACAGATTTAAACCACCAAAAGTGAATTTTTTGAACTGATGACACACGGTCTGTTCTCAAGAGGATTTCACCCTAAACTCACTTTTGATATGACAGGTGGCTATGGCATTGCAATGCTTGATTTTGTACTCATGGAGTATGATATAAAAATTACATTTATCATTTTCCCTATGCTACTCTATAAAATAAAGGAAAGTAATGAAAAATAAATTGAAACACCAAAAGTAGAGATGTCCCACAATGATATGCAGATATGTGCACAAAAAGAAAAAAAATGATGAAATACAACAAACAAATGCACCAGAAAAAAAATAGCCATTTATTTTGTTACAACTTAATGCACGTGTGTTTCTCCTACTGATCTAAGACAGAGATAAATATACATGTAATTAAGCCTTCCACATTAAATATTCATAATCTATCAGACTGTTTTGAAAGATTCATTTTCCCCTGAAGTGAGTATGAGTAAGATGATCAATCTAGTAACAATAAAATAAAGTTATACTAATCAGGATAGTCATAGATATACTTATAGCTATGTTTACACCTTTATTATGACTACTTGAATGTTAACACGATTAGTTGGACAAGGACAGTTTGGAGAAACTGCCTCAACTAGGCACCTACTGCAGAGCAATGGCCAACAAGTTTGTCTTGTACGCCAAATTATCAGTGTTAAGGTTATTCTCAATGGGTTCTCCAGCCAGTGGCCTTGTGTCAAACTAAGCTAAGCTTAATAAACAACTATTAGGTTACATTGACACAGCAAGGTTATTTTGTAGACCAATGGTAGTAAATTTAGTCAACACTAAGTGCCCCAACACAGTTGCCATGTGCCAGTCGAGAAAAAGTAAATAAGTATGCTATGTACCATAATAAGCTAAATAGTGAATATCAAAAACAGATTTTGGAACAGCAAACAAATTTACTAATACTGTAAGTTCAATCTACACTGGGTGCCCCACTATTTTAGATATTTACTTACAGTGGCATAAGACTAAGTTTACTCTGAGAATTCACTTGATTTTGTACTTATCCGAAGCATAAACCACTAGACTAGATTTTGTACAAGATGAAATTCTCTGAAAGACAAGGAAGACCATTCTTTCAGCAGTTAAGGGCAAATTGTTTTTTTTTTTGTTTTTTTTTGTTTTTTTTTTAAAGATTAAAAACAAAAAAAAAAAAAAAAAAATACTTTTTTAAAATTTCTATTAGCTGCAATTTTTAAACAGCCATTTAATACATCTCAATCAAAACAAATTGATAATAAAGTGCTAAACAATCTTTCAAATGTCATACGGAAGGAATTAGAAAAGGTAAGTATGAAGAGATAGGGAGAAAATATAGTGAACAGAAAAATTTAATGCGAAAATAAGTAAAGAAGATCTTTGTATGGGTTATATTTCATGACTAATTCAGCTCTCCCATGATCCACAGGACTTAAGTTCCAATCTAACTTAGCAAGTTTGTTTTTTTTTTTTGCGTTTTCAAAACTGCATCATTAGGAAAGAAAAGTAATTTAAAAGCAGAGTAAAAAGGATCTTAATTTAAACAAGCAGTCTAGTGACTAGTAATATTTTTTTTAATGAATCATATACAATGGCGAATTTTCCTTCCAATTACTAATATATAAAAAGTGAATAACACTTCCTCAGTAACCTGTCATGCTTGTTTGAAAAAGTTTAAACAGACTATGAATGTACACCAAGGTTTTGGATGAGACTTTATTATACTTTGTATAATTTAAGAACTCATTTGAATATGGCTGTGTCATGAGTAAGCATTTAAACAAGCCTCCTACAAATCGTTGTTATCCTTAGTTTTTAATATTCAAAAAGATTGTTGTTGAATAAATATTGGATAGAATAAGCAGGCCAAATCAAAAATGGGAATATGAGGGAACTTCAAGCACACTGTATTTATGTGATTTAATGTTTCTTTTGTGGCTATGAAATTGTGAATCAGAAAGAAGCCGTCCCTGCATAGAGTTTTGTAAAACAAAAAAAAAAACAAAAAAATGATTGTTAAGAGCAGAATAACATTTCAACAATAAAACAAAAAGACAACAAATGTCATTTCAAGATTGTTGTTGCAAACAACAAACCAGAAATGTTTCATGGGATTAAAAAAAAAAAAAAAAAAAAAAAAAAAAAAAAGAAAAAAAAAAAAAAGAGGGTAAAAGGTTTGGAATGACAAAAGCACAGCAAAATCAAATTTAAATATAGAACAAATAATTATTAAAACAAAAATAAAAGTATTTGTTCAAATTACACAATATTCCTAAAAAGGTCTGGGTTTTTTTTTATTATTATTTTCTAAGTGTTCTTGTAGTTAAATTTCAAATGATAAGAGAAATTAAAATCACTACTTTAAAAATACATGGTGCATAGTACAAAAACTTCATTCATTAGATGAAAATAGTTTCTGACCCATCTACTTTTTAAACAGGGTTTACCAAGGGAAGGCTGACATATCAGTCATGAGACAAAGAAAAATAATTTTTTTTTACATATCATGGCTAAATAGCATAATTTTTGTACTGGATTCACTTTTTCAGGAATGATTAAAGACCTTTTTGCAATATGGTATAATCTTCAAAATGGTACAAACACAGAAAAAAAACAGACCATGCAGAAAGTTGATTAAGAAAGTTGTCAAGGAAGTTTAGATAAAGAAAGAGAGAAAGAACCAACTACCACCAAGGGTCTGAAATCCTTGAAAGAAAGAAACTGACAAATTGATTCGGGGTAATATGCACGCTTACCTAAGAAACGTTTTGGTGAGAATGTTACAAGAGCAATTACAAGTGGTAATAGAAATGGTAAGAAGATGGAATGAAGAAAGGTGATAAATGAATAGTTTCTGCAAGATAATATGTGATTAAAGAGAGATCATTTTTTGTTACAATAGTCTGTATATTTAGCTGAAAAAGGTGCTGTCATTTAAGACAACTGGTAGGACAGACGTCTGCATTTTATTTATATGTTTTAGAAGCAGCAATTCTTAGAAGATCTGCTTTGCTGACATATTTGAAAAATGCAGAAACATTTATATATTTACTAAAAATATAAGCAAATGTCCAGAGATTATGTCCATTGTATAACCTTGTTCTTAAGCTTAATTAATTAATTTGAACTTGATAAAATATCCTTGTATGCAGACAGTGTAGCCCGAAGTTTAAATTATATTGTGTATCTAAAGGAATTGATTTTAAATTAAAGTGAACGCAGTGGGTTTAATAGGCATAAAATGATTGAAGAAAACATTTCAGGTTGACTGAAAAAAAAAAAAAAAATATTGCTCAAAACAAATTTGTTCCTCATACATGATATGCAAAACAAAATTAAAACTTTTGAGAATACATTTCTTTTCTAATTTATCTCCGTATTTTATCATTTTTAGATCACTGGAGGAAAAAAAAAAGATACTCCCACAAAAAGTAATATAGTGAAAAAAAAAAAAAAAAAAATGTTAATTTGTAAATGATTGCATAGAGATTTTACTATTACTTAAACATAAAAGTAACTAAGCTTGCATTTGACCACCACATTTTTTTAAAATAGATTCTACGATCTTTAAAAGACAGTAATGTTAAAAGTTTCCAAAAAGGCAAATGTGAAATACAACACTACTGAATAAAGAGATAAGAAACTGAACTTGTATTCACTAATTCAATTAAGTTTTCAATGGCAGTTAACTAAACTGAAAGAACTTCAGGAATCTTGCTAGAGAAAGTTTAATTGAAAATTAGAAATCTAAAAATTAAATTAAGCTATTCTAGAATTAGAAAAAAAAAAAAACCCCAAAAAAACACTTGTTCGGATGATTGCAGTCTTCAAATTATATGCCTCAATTTGAGATGGGGAGAAGACAGAAAAGTATAATACACATTGAACATTTTGGATTCTTTTGTATAAAATAGAAGTGATTAATTTACTATTATTTTAGCTTTAATCAAAACTTAAGATTCCAAACATCTATGACATGAGAAATTATACAACACTGTCTGTTTCTTTAATTCAAAGCATTTGATATTTAAGAAAAATGTTTTAAAAAATAAAGTCACTTTTTATGTGATGCCATAAAAAATGCATTTTTTTTTTCTAAGATTTAAATGAAAAAAAATAAAAAATAAAAATAAAATAAATAGAAAAATAGAATTATTTTTCAGCAGTCATTACAAACAATTGTCTTGTTTTACACAAATCATCTTTTTAAAGTGGAACCTACGTACAAATTTTTATATTTCATTTCTGCATATAACTTGAATTTTTATCTATTGTCTACTGAATGCATGGTTTTTTTTTTAAATATTTTTTCAAAGAATTAAAAACTAAAATAATTTTTCCTGAAACAGCATCACATAAAGAGAGAATAAAAGTAATAATATATAATTTATAAATAAGACATAAAAGAAGCATGTAAACTAAAATTTCTTTTTTAAGTAAATTTTATTTGTTAACAGAAACTATACGTAAGAGCCATTGGGGACAGTTTGGTTTCAAATATATTTTGTAGAATTAGAGACAAAAAAAAAAAAAAAAAAAGAGAAAAAAAAAAAATAAAAAAGACAATACTAAAAGAAGAAGGAAAAAAAAAAAAAGGAGGAACACATTAACATAATGTTAAGGTTTTTTTTAGTCACTACCGTTTGACGTGATCAACTTCTTTCAGGGCACTGGAGTACAGGGACTGGTTGATATGGGGACTTGGTGGTGAATAACTTAAAGCAGGACTATGCCTGAAATGGAAGAAGAAAAATATTGCATTTCTAATGTAATTTTTAACTGTTCTGCTTCATTCTTCAATCCCTGTCTGATTTTATTTTTCCTCTATTTTCGAGAAGCTTGTACTTTAGAGCACATCAAATAAAAAAAAAAAAAAAAAAACCATTATGAATGATTTTCCTTGGTATACGGTCATTTCATGCTATACATGGACAATTAGCAAACCAGATTGTCTTATTACCATCTCAGAAAACCATAAAACCTAGAAAATGAGAGAGAACAAGATTTGTTGGTATCAATCACTTTTACTAGCAACTGCAATGTCATTCTCAAAACGAGTAAAGTTATTCTTTTCATTTATATTAACTATGCTTGATTTTGGAAATTTATCAGTATTAATATGCACAACTTGTATTTTTAAACAAGACAAATGAAATTTAGAAAAATGATTCTGATTTGTATATTATCTTTATCAGATGATAGTCACGGATGAAAAATTAAACAGCACAAGTTCACATTGGTTACATGCATGATGATAAGTCATAAAAATTCATTATGTACTGGCAAAATTATAATAAAAAATGTTTATCAACATTTATGAACAGCTTCAAGACAAGGAAGTCTGTTTTTATAAACAAAGAATTTGAAGAAATAACATTTCAGTTTGAGTTTATAATACTGTTTAGTGAAAAAAAAAAAGGTAATGTGAGAGTAAATATTTACTTCTAAGGGATAAGAACAAGAAAATAAGCATGGATTTATGGATCACAGGATATAAAGGAACTAAACTAGGCGAGAGGGAATAAAACAATCAATTTTGCTAGCACTGAGATTTAAAACAAAACTCTTTGGAGAAATGTGTTAACCTTTGACGAGAATAAAAGTATATACATATCAACCATTGTTTTTTCACCTCTTATGTGTAGAGGTACTTGTCTGGGATTTGGTATACTTCTGACGATCAAACATTTGGCATCAGGTAAAATTTATTTCAATCTTTAGTTATAGTTTAAAAGAAAAAGAAAAAAAAATTCCCAAAATTTACTATCCAGCAGTGAAAATTAAAAATTAAGATTTTAAGATAATCAGCCCAACCAATGCTATCTTGTGAACTACACAACTTTGTGTTAAAGCAAACATAAAATCTTTTTTTTTTTTTTTTTATTCTAGATAGTTACTCAATTGTTACAGAAGCAAAGAGAATGACAAGAAATGTGTTATATATCAAGGTCAGCTGTAAAACCAGACGGCAGGCAGAGAATATCAGGATGTGTATGTTTTCAGTAATATCAAATTAGAGACAGAAGCAAAAATAATTAGTAATAAAAAACAAAACAAAAAAAGGGGAATGAGAAGCAAAGTACAGGGCTTTTAGTGTTTGGCTTTAGGGTTGGTGAAGATGGCTGTGAGGTCAAATGAAGAATCTCAACTGGCTGGATTTCTTGATGAGGAAGATAGTAGTGGGTGGTAAGGGTGGGCTATGCATGAAGGTGTAGACAGTCACCAAACCTATGCTTTGAACTTGAAAAGGAAAAAAAAAAAGGCTTTAAAAATGACTTGAGATGCAGCAAAGACAAACAGAAGGCAGATGATTGATAAGAATATTTTTCTTCTTGTAATAACTGACACTTGATAAGACACATTAAAACAGACTATAGTCTGGAGAAATTCAGGATTACTAAGCAAGTACTAGAAAGATATAAAAAAAAGATCAAAAAAGTGGATTATCTTTTAGGGTGGAACTGGTAAAAAGTGAAAAAAAAAAAATGATATTGTTGAAGGGAAGTCAATGTTTAAAGCTTAACATTATATAAAAAAGGTGCCTGAGTATTTTTCTCCTACTTAAAAAATAAACTAAAAATTTGTGAACCAGTTTTCAACAGCTGATATGCTAATGGTAATATTAGAAGTTTTCTCATAAGGCTATTTTTGGCTGAAATTTAGGAAATATTTTTTTAAAACAATTTTTCAAGAAAATAGCTTTTTAAGTTCAGTAACCGTTATTGCGTTTTCCAGTACCAATGAAGGTTTCCTTACTAACCTTTTTTTGAAGTAATGTGGAATATCAACACCCTGATTTATGTCATTATTTTCTCAGGGTTATACATTCTATACCATTTTAGTTGCTGCTATTAAAATATAAATATCTTTTCAAAATATGATAAAATGTAATATTTTCTATTATAGATTCAGATCATTAAATGTATTTGGTATGTGCTTCCAGTAAAGAAAAAAAAAAAAAAATTAAAATGAAAATACATGATTTTTGCCAATCCAGTAGTAACCAGTTACAATTTTTTTTAATCATTCAGTCTTTATAAAAGATGATAGTTTTGTGTTAAAGTAAAGATGGCAAAAATGAATACAAAATAATCAAATATAAAAATAAAGTATTTTCAAGTGTAGATGAAAAACTAACAAAGTTCATACCCACAAAAAAAAAAAAAAAACAATGTGTCAAAAGTACAATTTTAAACCTTGACACCATTATTACCATTTACTCCATCAGCAATCTTTGTTTTAAAAAGCTATTTTTAGAATTTTGAATAGTGTATAGCATTTTTGTTAATTCTCAAGAAAAAAATAAATAAATCGAGATGCTTGCAAACTATTTTAGTGAATTTATGCAATTAGAACAAATGAAAAAAAAAAAAAAAAGAATGTATAAATTCAGTTTCATATGTTCAAACTTTATTAAAATTCTAAAAATAGCTTTTTTAAAACAATAAAAATTGCTAAGGGAGTCTACAATAGTAGTAAGGAAACTGTCCTTTGTGGCACTTTTTTTTTTTGCAGGTATAAATGTTAAACTTTGACAAAAAACTAAGAATGTTTAATAAAACTAGTCTAAATACTTATTTCTACTAAAAGAAAAGAAAACAAAGTAAATTACATGCAGTTTATTTTGGGTAGGAATATTTGGACATTTAAAAAAGCCACTGTATATATTTACATAAAAGGAATATATTTTGATACAAAATTTGAAAATTTGACGTTTAAAAAAACCAGATTGTCACAAATATATATCGACTGATTTGTTACTTATGGCTTATCAACCATTTCTGGCTTATTTAAAGCTGAAATATATTTTGGTATTGTAAGAATAATTTTTCTGTTTTGTAAGTTAGCATTGCATTAACTTTTGGGGGAGAAATTTTTTTTTCCAGATCCAAGTCCTATCATTTAACCCATAGATGGAGAGAGGAGAGATGAATTGCATTAATCATACCCATGCTATGAAATCACCTTTTTAATAGTTATGCTTTGAGAAAGTCAAAATTTACAAGGAACCATAGTTGGACTGTAGTGGAGCTGACATATGTGGATGATGTGATGCTTTGTGGAAAAATTCCCAACACAACACATTAACAATGGCAGGCCTAGATATTTAAAATGGCTATGAACTTTTGGGGCAATCTGTGGAACCCTGAAATTTTTTAATCCTCACACTGTAAATCAGCAATTTCCTTTGATTGCGGCCTTCACACATTTAATGGTTTGGGGTATTCTACTTACTGAATACCTTTCAGAACATGGATCTTTTTTCACCAGACTCCTGGCCAAATCCAAAGTGTCATTTGATTTGGACTTCTCTCATTAAATCATTTCTTAAATTTTTTTTTTTTTTATTCCTTTGATTTGTTTCTATAGACAGATGTCCATAGCTTCAAGGAAAATCTGTGAACATGCCAATAGCACAATATATAAGCTTGCACAATGGCATCTCACACCTGACTGACCATGCAGGAAAGTGTCTGTTCATCCATGCAAAATCAAATCCCCTTTGATTGACAAGTTACATCAGTCATGCAACCAATTAATGAGACCTTCAAAATAGCTGCGTACTTTCAGGACAGACTTTAGTGCAAGGAAAGAAAAACTGGATATAAACGAAGTCACTAGAATAATATATATATAAATATATATATTACAGAAAAACTTTGTTTTGATAGAACAGTGTTGCTATGGCCCCATTTTATCATCAAAAATGTTTTCATGAGAATAGCTCTTTAACAACACTATCAAAGGCAATAGCTGTTAGGAAAATAGATAAGGTGTGAAAAATAAAAGTTATTTCACCACCAGAAATCAATCTTGAATAGTCATACAAAAAATGTGTGTGTGTATATAATAGTATCCGAAACAAAAGTGGGAATTTTGAGAGTGAAAGAGTTTATAAATGACATGCTTCACCAACAGATGTTAGGTTCGGCTTCCTCAAGTCGGAATAAAAAACAAAATTGTGTGTAAGGAAAATGTGTTGGGATTTTTGAGGATAAGAAGAGCAATAAATTAAATTACCTTATCAGACCTAATGACCAGAAACCAGAAAGTTTTTGTTTATTTTTTTTATGTATGTATTAAAGCAGTTGGTGTCTGTTAAATTACAAGTTTTCCCACTCAGAGTAAATCTGTTTTTATTCTCTATTAGCTCATATTATTGTTTTTTCAAGGACTGGTGATATTATGTATGGTTCTGGTTTTAGTTTTATTGTTAAGAATTGTGAGATTAGCACACTAAATGCATTTTCTTCTTAGTGAATCCTTTTCTCTTGATCAAACTTGCATTTATTAAGTCAAGATTGTCATCAGACATCATTACGATGAACTATCAGTGCTTTTAAAGTACTGTTATGCAGCGCGTATCTGCAATGCTCACGTTTTTTTGGTTTTTTTTTTTAATGCTTCTGGATGTTTCACTGATGTACATCATTAGACATTTTGTACAATCTATTCTGTATATTTCTGCCTCTGTCCTGTAAGACCAGGACCATGCACAATATCACCAATCATCCCAAATGCAATAATAACACAATGCAGTATAAAATTAGTAAAAAAAAAAGCATATCTACTTGGAGTGGGCCAATTTAAAAAACAGCAGTTTTCTTAATCTCAACTGACAACTTGTTTGTTGAATTTTTCTAGTTCTTAAAAACTGTCAATTGAATTTAACAAAACTTGCTGGGATGAAATCTTGCTGGCCAAATACACCGAATATCTAGTGATTATCCAAGCGTAGCTTAGATGTGGCACAAGGCCAAAAGTAGGGGGCACCCAGTGAGTATTAAACTCACTACTCAATCGTAATTGTTCTAGCGAGACATACTTGCTAACCATTACACTGCCACAAGGTGCCCTGCTGGCCAAATACACTGAACATCTATATAAGAACCACTATAACATTTGATAGTTAAATTTTTTTTTAAGGCACTTATCTGCAAAAGATTAAGATGTACATTTACGTTACACTAGCATTGGTTTTCTTTGTTTGCTTTCATTGTTATATTTGCTGCATGTGACAAAAGAAATTATCTTACCTTGCATGGACAGTCGTCATCAATTTTGGCGAGGCCTGTCTTTCCCATATTGTTTTCTGTGCTTGAAGGACCTGCCCCAAAGACCTTGAGAAGAAAGAAATGCCAAAAGAAGGGGAAAGCCATTAGGAGTGTGGCAAATTAGAAAAATAAAAGAGAAAGCAAACAAGGTTTGTTCAGTGCATTTTCAAAAAGAAACTGGAAATAATGAGCTTGTAGATATCAAAATTTAAGTTTGTTTTTTTTCTTCAAATAAATAAGATACATTAAAACAAATAACATTTTGACCATAAGTGAATAGAATAGCAAGCATGTAAAAAAAAAAAAAAAAGGAAAAAAAAATGAAAAGTATTTTGGGATATTTGTATTGAGTCCCTAACAACTGAATACAAATTTTACTTTGATTTATTTTTTATAGCCTATCAACCCTTAGCAAGTTATTTAATGCCAGAAAATATTTCTAGGTTGTAAGAATTATCTTTTTGAAATAATAATGGTTTAGTGATACAAAGCTTACTAATTAACTCATAGCTGAAGCGGGAGAAGAGATTGCTTCATACCTTTTCCAAGGATATTTTGCACCTAAGTGAACACAACTGGAATTGTAACTTGGCTCTCAGATTAACAAATCATTTTCCATTACACCATCATCCACACAACCAAGCTTACTGCTCCTGGTATTCCCAAGCAGTCACCCATCTACGTACTGACCTGGACCGAGGTTGCTTACCTTCAGTGATTGTATGAAAACTGGTGTTTCAATGTGATATTGCCATAAGCCAAAAATTAAACTATGTAATACGTACTAGCTTAGTATTATTAAAAAAAAGAAAAGATCTATTCCTATATAGTATTTTATTAGTTTTTTTTCATATTGGTAAATTACAGTTTGGACAGAGGAAACTATTTGAACAAAAAGAAAAAAGTTCACAAACACTGAAGTAAGATCAAAAGTAAGATGTAAGCAAACTAGTCAAACACTCTAATCATGGTCAGCATAGAAGAACAAAAAATATTTCAGATGATAAGTCAATCACCCAATTTTGTACACATGTATCAAAAAACACAAAATAAAAGATAATAGGTTTTCTTTTTAACAAACCAAACTTACTTGTCATTGAGGTCTGAAAATTAAAAGAGAAAATATAGAGAAATTTATTGAAAAGCCAAACAATTTTACTTCCATTTCAACTGATGAAGTGAAATAAACCAAACAAAAAAATAACTAATCATGCAGACATCCAAGTATCAGTTAGTCTGCAAAGTTTAGTGTCAATATTAAATTAAATGAAACAATAGTTTAGCTGCAAGAAGCAAGATATCCTTTTTAGTAGTGAGTAAATTCCAATCAGGTGCAATTATTTAAAAACTGAGAAGAGATTGACAAGTTTATTTAAATTGTAATAAATGGTTTCATTTTTATATACCAACAAAACATATCTTTAACAGAATCTCAAATTACAAACACTTCCTGACATTTAAAAGATTCATTTGTTCCATATAATTATCTATAGGTATTTATTTCTGACCACATAATAATTTAATAAATTTAGTAAAAGATTTTCAACTTGCATTTCTTACTTTTATTGATTAAAAGAACTTCTGAAAGTGATTTTTATGATTATGGCAAATGTGCTTGTGAGCAACTGCTTTTAACTTGAAGACAATTTCTACATTTCTGCTCATAGCAAGCATGAATTTTATGATAGATTTTCAGTCACTAATTGGTTAAAAAAATATTGATAATTGCACAATATTTGAGGAATCATCTTAATTATCTTCTGATTTTCTTGGCATTAGGCATTTTATTGAAAATAATGTAAATGGTGTGGTCCAGAAACAGATACAGATATTCAAAGATGAATGGATTAACCAAATGGCAGGCCTAAGATCTGGCAGCATGAATCAGATAATTTTAGAATACCAAACTCTTTAAGGTCTTTCATAAACTTCAAAAATAAATAAAATATTAGATGAAATCAGTGATGATAACACAAGTTAGTAAACAATTAATACAGATTTTTAAAAAATTGCTATTTGCTAGTTATTGACATTATTAAAGTGAGCAAAGATGTATTAGCAGTGAAATGCAGATGAAATTAAGCACAAGAAGATGTAGAAATACTCCACAGCATCTGTATAAACTGGGATACCAAATCTTTTTCTTTTTACTAACAACGGACAGACATGTTCTAATCTAGTAAAAGAGAAATTAACAAGAGAGGGTAATATCTGCTAACCATCAACTCAGGTCAGTTAACTCCACATATTTTAAATGACAATGAAAATAATGACCAAATATCATATATATATATATATATATATATATATATATATATATATATATATATAAATATAAATATATAGATATAGATCCGACAGTATGAAGAAAAATATACAAAAAAAAAAAAAAAAAAATCTTAATATGCAATTATGCTGTATTAATGTTAATATAAAGTCAACGTCGGACGTTTCGGTCTATTTTAGACCATCTTCAGGACATTTTCATTTAAACATAATTAACATTAGAACATAAAAATCCAACATGAAAAGACAATGGACATAAGAGCACAATTAATCCAAACAGATAACTGAAATTTTTATATAAGATCAGCGTTCCGTTTAAATATGATACATAGCTTGTACGAAAATATAAGAATCTATTGATCAAGTAAGGAAAGGATTTATTATCGAACTGTTTTTAAAATTGTTCCATCGTTCTGATATTTTGAAATCATTTTTGATTTGCTTTGTAACGTGGGGGACTTCAAGCTTATATGAAGATATAAGAACCTATTGATCTCTGCGTATTCCTATATCAACGGAAGGGATTTCTTGAACTGTTTATATAAAATAGTTCAATCAACTTTTTTAATATTTTAATATTTGGAAATCATCTTGAATACGTTTTTCACAACATCGCATGCGTTGACGTGACAACGTGATCATATTTAAACGGAACGCTGATCTTATATAAAAATTTCAGTTATCTGTTTGGATTAATTGTGTTCTTATGTCCATCATCTTTTCATGTTGGACTTTTATATGTTCTAATGTTAATTATGTTTAAATGAAAATGTCCTGAAGATGATCTAAAATAGACCGAAACGTCCGATGTTGACTTTATACTAACATTAATACAGCATAATTGCATATTAAGATTTTTGTTTGTTTTTTCTGTATATTTTTCTTCATATATGAAAATTCAAAGAACTCTTGTACTTTCACTGCCCATGATGACATTTTAGTATTTACTGAACAAGATATACTTTAGCAAGCAGGTCTGTCCTTTTGTCTACTCTTACAAACATGCTGATAACCAACAGTTAAAAGAGAAAGTAATGAACATAAAGGTAACTGTTTTCCTTCTGCCATCAATTCAAACATTTTCTGCAACTTTCCAGTGCTGTAGAAAAACAGTGGCAGGAAGAGAAAGTAAATATTTTCTAAACTATTTAACACCTTTTTATGAAGTTATGTCATAAAACAAAATGAGACATTGGCATTTTTTAGAGTAGCAAGAAGAAAAAAAAAAAAAAAAAACGCCTTACAAAAGAGGAACATCAAAGTTCTAAAGCTGAATGACTTCTGATGCACAGTAATAACAGATTAGCAGATGTTGATGTTATAAAATCAAATCAAGAAAAGCTTTGTGGGTCCCAAGGGGTGAGAGGACAGGAAAAGGTGCATTAATAAAGAAAAAATTTGGTTTGCTATCTCAGCATAACTCTTGATCTGTGGATAATGATACCATTGAAAAAATGACCATGCCACAGGCCTTACCACAAGAGTGTGTCAACAGAGGCCAAAGATGGGGAGGGAGACACAAATAAGCACATGGGAAAATCTGAAAGACATCTGAATATAAACAAAGTTTTAAAAAGATTACAGTAATTATATTCTCTATATGATAAAGATGGCATCAACAGATTTTATGAGAGTAGAAATCTGAAAGTCTGACATAAATGACATTAACAGGATTTCTCTAGAACTTTGATTATGAGGGTCATTTTTTGGTGTAACCACAAAAGGTTCCATAAAAAAAAAAAAAAAAAAAAAAAAAGTATTATTGCTTATCAAGACACTTAATAAATATTACTAAAAGGAAAAACAAAACAAAAAAAAATACTGTATTTTTATTAATTGGAAATTTACATTCCAGGTCTGATTTGTGATTTTTGTACAAGACAATGTATTGAAAAATCTATTTGATGCATTTAAAATCTAAAAGAAACAAAGCATTCCTTAAATGGCAAAATATATTTATTGAGTAAATGTGGATAATCATGGCTTTGTAAGATAAAGAAACTGATGAAAGGATCACCAATGAATACATTTGTTATAATTAATGGACATGTGTCCTTTTTTGGAATCAGGTAATTTTATTTAACTTTACAGTAAACAAGGAGGCAGAAAAGAAATCTAACAACAGAACAGGTGAATGTAAGAAATACAGACATTAATACAAAGCCGCATTTAATGATTTGACCATAAAAAGTGTGATATTCTTATGTAGGCTGATTTTCAGGCAGATATGAACAAGAATCAAAATACATTTAATTTTGTACTCGTATATAGCATCATTTTTCAATATCAATTGTTAACTGATGGATAAAATGAGAAAAAGAGTTCAAATTTCAAATAAATTGAGAAAATTAAAAAAAAAAAAAAAAAAAAAAAAAGAGAGAAATAAAAAAGGAAGCAACTAAGAAAGGAAAAGAAAGTAGTAAATGAGAAATAAAGTAAAAATTCTTTTAAACTAAATTTCACCCAGTACAAGGCTCAAAGCCCACTCAAGGTAGAGGGTTCCAGTTTAAATGGTAATGATGAATCAGGTGTGGGATATGAGTAGATGAAAAAAAAATAAAATATGAAGATTATGAGTATAAGGGAGAGAGAGAGATAACAAATGCCCTTGATTTGAAGAGGTCAAATTTAAGTGTTCAGATAAGCAGCAGCACAAGAGTCTGTTCCACAAAGTATCAGTCCTTGGGGGAAAAGCTTTCTGATTGTGATCCAAATATAAGAACAAAGTTGCAAAGGAAATAAGGTTTCCTTGACTTCATGGAAGTAGACAAAGACAAATAATACAAAAAGTGAGAGTAGCAGGCACCCAAAAAGTGAGAGAAAGTATAATAAAGTTTAAGTATTAATGACTTATAGATGGTAAAGGTGTATCATGGTAACAAAAGTTCATCTAAACGGTAAATAAAGAGAAAACAAGAGGCAGAAAAAATATGCAGGTAAAATTTTTTATTTGACTGCACAATGAATCCATCTCTTTGCTTTAAAAAAGATGATATAAGTGCTAAGTCAATAAAAAAATATTAACTCTCAGTTTTTTAGGGTAATAAAAATTGATTTCTAGCCTGAACAAAACCTTTCTCAAACAGATTAATACTAGTTAAAAATTATTAGCTTTAAATAGTATATATAATAAACTTGTCATGTAAGACTAGATAAATATCAAAGAACCAATATATGTAGAAGAAAAAACATAATGGCTTCAATCTTTAACAAGCAATATTTTGAATTTCTTCATTCCAATGCTTTGTATAGAGTGGGTAGCTGAATATAAGCAATATTTCCAATAAGTAAAAGTCTAACTTAATCCTGAACTACTTATTTGCCAAATTTGTCTTGTCAGTAATAATGAAGACCAGATAGAGTAAGACGCACAGTTTATGGTGATATGCGGGAAAAATAATGGCTAACCCTAAATTTGAACAGGTTAAGATTGGAGTGGTCAGGGAAGCCTCCTCTAAGGAGTCAGTTCC